AAGAGATCAAACCCAGATATGCAGAGGTAAACGTACTCTAGAAGTCCTTCCTTTCAGTATACTTCTTTTCACTCCCACCCCCCAATCCCCACTGATTTACTGTAGCAGATAAGTTAGAGATGAAATGGGATAAGATGCTGTAAACAGGTACCTAGGCAAATCAGCACAGAATCTAGAACAATTGAGGTTTAGCTTAATGGAAATCAAGCTTAATACGTAATTTTAAAATTCTGTTTTCTTGAATTCTGTTGGACACATTTGATCTCTGTAGTTGTAACAACTGTCAGTGGTCTAATTTGTCCCAGCTATACATAGGAATGGACTAATTGAAATAACAGGGTTGAGATGAGTCTGAAACTCCTATCAAACCAACTTGCCCTAAGAAGAAGAAGGAAGCAATTATAGGGACAATCTAATTCATTAATCTCAGATATACCATTATAGACTAGGCCTTCAAATGGATAAATCTCTTTGGTGATCAGAAATACTTCAGTGATGGTTTGCCTTGAGGAAGTGAAAAGGCAGAACCCCATCTGCTGAATCATAGAGGTAAGAGTTAATAGGGTCCCTTGAAACCATCTAATCCAGAACCTTAATTTTACAGATGAGGAAACTGAGTCCCTGATAGGTAAATTGATTAGCCCATACAGCAAGTGAATAGCAGACTCAATACTTGACCCAGGTTTCCTTTGTCCCTGTTATTAGGGGAAGTAGGTGATTTGGTCTGAGGCCTAGGGAGTGACGTTCTTGAGAGAGTAAACCAGGGTAAGTATTAGAGCATTTGTAAAGCGTACCCTCTTCACCCACTTCCACCTTAGTCAATTTTGTCTCCACAGGAAAACTGAGTTGAGTTTCAATAGCTAAAGACATATTCTTCAAGCCTGATAATATCAAAAGCAATAGCAAAAATAGAAGAAGGACTTGGGTAGAAATGGAAGACTCAAGGCATGCAATATAGGGGAAATGCAAATTTGGGGATTAAATTTTGATCAAGACAAAAAATATCTTTCCTCACCCCACAACCCATTGGTATATAAGGCTGATATAACATGTTTGTATTTATTAGCAGGATTTCTCTAACACTGTATTTCCTTAAAAGGAAATAAAATCCACTAAATGACAACTACTTGTCTTCATAAATGACAATTACTTCATAATCTGAATCCTAACTTTTTTGAGTCCCTAAAATTGCATTTTTTCATTGTTTCTTTTTGTTCTGATCCTTTGACCTAGCCTGGAAAATTTGAAGAACATTTCTCTTTTTAAAGTCAGGAATACTTTTAATGAAACAGTTTTTCCCAGTCAGATTTTAAAAGTAGTGTTATTTTAAAAAATATGAGTAAGAACTGTTTTCATTTACAATAAGTTGCCTTATTCTTTATTTGGTAAATGTTGAAAGATACATTTGGCTTAGGCCATCTTTTCCCTTTCCCTTGCCCTCTTTGTTGCTTGTGCTATAAACTTCCTAGATACTACCATGCACATAAGAATTTATTAATTTTTGTAATATAAATTGGGCCAGGGCAGGGAGACGTAAATACTCTTCTTCTCTACCAGATTCATTGGCATAAATGTTATTTCTGGCAATGTTTCTGTAGCACACATTTCTTGACTTCACACGAAGAAAGTATGAATCAACTTGGCTCAGTATCTGTAAGGAATATTGCAGGGGGTATTGTTGTATGGCGTGCACACTCACTAGCACTTTTTAGGGCATAAATGTCCATTTTCTGGATTTTTTGCTAGTAGCTTAGAAGAATGCAAAGGCTCCAAAAATTCCTGACTTACTCCCAGGAATAAATTATGTGTACGATAAAATATCTGATGTATCCCTAATCTTCTTTGAATATGAATAACACAGTCCTCACCAAATATGTGCCAACTGTATACAATCTGGAGACTATTTCTTGACTTTGAATCAAGATATCAGTCATATGGTTAGAAAATCTGCCTGCATTAAGTAGGAGGTTGGCCCAAATGACATTTAAGGTCTCTCCTAACTTTATGAAACTATGGTTCTAAGTACAAACTTGCTCTAGTTTTAAGTACTTACACCCTCAGAAAAAACTAAAACTTTTTGTGTTTTGGTAGATTTGTCTTGGAAAGTTACAAAATCGAATTTGGGCAGAAAAGTAAGATAGTCTATTGGCCACTGAAATAAATTACTCTGGCATATGGCATTGGGCAGAAAATGAGAAATGTGAGCATAATTCTTGTCCTTACATGATTATTACTTAAGTAACAGTTCACATTTATATAATGCTTTAAATTTTGCAGAGTGATTTGTACATGCTATCTCATTAATCTCACAACAGCCCTGTGAAATATGTATTAACTATCATCCCCATTTTACAGATGAAGAAACTGAGGCTCAAAGAGGTCACTCTCAGGGTCCCACTGCTAGTAGGTGTCAGAGACAGGATTCAAACTCAGCTCTGCCTGATTCTAACAGCTTATTTTTTGTACTTCAATGTCTCTTATGAGCTATAACAATAAAAATATTAGCTATAATTATTCTTATCTAGAATTCTGAAAAAAATGTCTTTCCCTCCTGTTATTATTTCTGTAAGTTACAAATAAATCCATCACAACATAGTCTTAGCCTTGTGACACAGGAATATATGAATACCAGGCATTCCTGGTCAGTCCCCTTTAAAGAAATACTATTTTTGTGATCTAAAATTGGAAATAATCCATAAAATGTTCCACTGAGGTATAGAAGATCAGGTAAAATTTACCCCTTTTTACTAGAAATAAATAATTATAGTGAGTGTTTCTATCCACTCTTAAAATTTATTTTCCTTAAACCTGAAGCAGTCAGAGATTAAGTGTCGAGGATAAATAAATTAGACACCACCCCCTCCCCGCATTTCCCTCTCAATCAAACATTTGGGAAGTATGTAAAGCACATTTGGAAATCACATAAAATTGTTTGGATTGGCACAAAGATGCCATTGAGAATAATGAAGCAGTCATTTTGTAGACCAGGCTAGTGCTTTGTCCTCATCCAGAAATGGCTATCAGTCACCAAATCTACTTTTCTTTACATATTACAATGTCACCTGCAACTGAACGCAAAACCTCCATAATTGTCAATAAACCACAGAGATACTCCTTCAGACCATGTTAATCACATAAAATTTAAGATGACTTCCAAGCATCTGGAACCTTCTTACAGATCTCAAACATAATCAAAGCGGTCCAAAGAAATCACAGTTCAGGTTCCAAAATTTGGTCTTTGATCCTAGAGATCTTGGGTAAATTAATTAGAGAACCTCCTGAAGACTTCGTAATAAAGTCATTACTCCAGGGAAGATCCATTCAGTCCACATCCCTCTGAGGATTTCAACTGAGAAAATGAAAATTCTTATTTCAACTCCGAAATCCTCTCACTCACCTGAAGGTGATTTAGACTTCTGAAGCTAAAACAGAAGGGTAGAGGAGTTTGGAGTCAGAAGACTTGCATTCAAATTAGAACCCTGTTACCTATTACCAATGACACCTGACAAACTGCTTTACTCCTCTATGCTCCAGTCACCTCAGCTGTAGAATGAGAAGGTAGAGTGGACTGGGTGAAGCGTTAAGGTCCCTTCCATCTCCATATCTATGATTGACAGAGATGGTTGCATCATAGACTTTTAGAGTTAGAACTTAGGGAGGATTTAGCCTTATCTTTTTAATGTGCAAATCAGGGAACTAAAACCAAAAGATATTTATAGCCAGGTAGTAGGACTCACACATTGGAACCTAGGCTCCTAGACCCCTCCTCCAACGCTCATTAGGTTTTCCTGGCCTACCTATCTTGCCTTAGCCTACATCCAGGACTGTTCTGGTGCCAGCTTGAATCCACTCTCAAGTCCTTTGTTAAATTTTCAGCAAGAGCATTTTACACTCTGAAAACCAGCAAACGCTAGAAATCAGGGCATGATTTATTTTTGTTTTGCTGATTGTCTAGACAAGAAAGTGATTGAAAAAATATTAATAATTCAGATTGAACTTAAAAGTATGTTGGGTGTAAATTTTTTCTGGAGAGAAAATTGTTTTACTAGCACATATCTGTCTACGTACCAACCAATCTACTCTTAAGGAACGCCTTAGCTTGCACTGTAATCCTAGGTACACACTTAAAAATTAAACACGCAGTCGCTGGAATTAGTGTTAGCTAGGAGGCACTGAATTGTTAGGGAATAATTCTCTTCACGGTACCTGTGGCCTGGAAGAAGAGTTCAAGTACTTCTAAGTATATGTGCCTTTCTCCTACTACGTAGTTCGTACTCTTGGTGCATCATTAAGCATTTATTTTGGATTGCTTATTTGAAAGCTCAAGCTCTGTCTTATCCTGGAACTTCCCTCAGCGCCTTCTTGCCCCTGAAACACTGCCGTGAAAACTTGCCATGCCCACGCCCTTCTCTTCTGGTGAATTCCTCCTAGTGTCTCTACTTGGGGGAGGGGCTTCATTCCTCTCCATACTGTGCTTTTCCCAGGAGTAAATATCAAGCCTTCCCACCCCCCTCTACCCCTTTTCAGTTTCCTTCTGTGTATTATCTTCCTCCATTAGAGTGGAAGCTTCTTGAGATTCCGGATTGTCTTTCTTTTTGCTTACTTTTGTTTCCCCAGCACAGTGCCTGGCACACAGTGAGTGCTTAATAAATGCTGGATGCCTGCCTAATCGTTAGACATCTCATCCATTTCTTTCAGAAGCATAGCTAAGTAAAAAAGAACAGATTTTCCTTCCCCCTACACTCAGATGAATTTTACATTCTCAGATGAGGAAAGCTAGAATTTCTGTAGTTTTTACGTAGCACGTTAAACTGAGGGTAGCGCTATCTTTATTAATTATTTGTGAAAAAGAAACATCTTCCCTTTCATTTAATGTGCTTTGGGGAGCTGGAGAGATTAGAGATGTATCAGAGGGACAGTTTCTGTGAGTCCAGAAACTGGTCTGTTCTCTCGTTATTTACCTAGCTTCAATATGCTATCGAAGAGATAATGTAACATACCAGGAACAGCTGCAGCAACAGCACCAACAAAAGCAACATGTGTTGTTGGGCCTCTGGTTTCCAGGTGCTTGAGACATAGCAGATGTTCCTTCATTTTGGGACTGCTGCCTTTTTCTCATTTCAGCTCCTTTGGTACCCAAGTGGCTGCAAGAACAGAGACAGAAGAGAGGGACAGAATTACGGTGGAGTGAAATTAGATGTGTGGTTTGATGCAGGATTGAAGAAACTATGCCCCTCAAGCTGCAAATGAAATGCAGCTTTCAAAGCAAGGATCCTCAGATCATTTCATCAGGAATATTCCAGAAATGTGGGGTCCCATATCCGTGGCTCAAGAAATAATAAAGTAGCTGCAGTGATAAGGCAAATGAGATAAGACATGGAATTCTTCCACTTCCTTCTTTGCTCAATAATGATAAAACCTTTATGAAAGATTTTAAATAAATTTTGGGAGTCTGTCTTCTCTGTTTCTTCACTGATGATGTCTGTGGTAGGGTTAATAGCCAACGGCTCTTTGTTTTTCCAACATATTGCTCAAGGCAAAATTGCAGAAGACAAAGATAATCTTAGAAAATAACAACGATTAGAATTTGTATTGCACCTATTATGTGCCAGGTAGTGTGCTAAGTGTTTTGCAAATATTTTATCTTTGTATTGAGCTACTGTTATCTCTATTTTATAATTGAGGAAACTCAGGCAAACAGAGGATAAGTGACTTGCCCAAGGTCACAAAGATAGCAAGTGTTTGAGGTGGGATTTGAATTTAGTTCTTCCTGACTCCAGGCCTAGCTGCTCTATCCAATGTGCCACCTAGCTTTTTCCTTACCCTTCTTACCTTCTCTAAAATCACCCATCTCCCTTCCACTGGCACTACTGTCCCAGTACATAGTGCTAATTCCCTGTGCCAAGGCGTTGCTATACTTACCTACCTGTCAACGGGGCAAGTGAATACCCATAAAGTAAGAGATGACCATGGCAATTTGCATTGTGACTGGGAACTCTTCAAGACTGAAGGAAAACATTGCTAAGAGTGGAATTTAGTTTTAAGGTCAGGCCAGTAGTGGAGATACTTTTGGTATTTGGAAACTTAGATACGAGTTTCTCTAGCTGGTGATCCTAAAATCTCTTCTCATAGGTGCCTTCTCATAAGGTCAAATTCTGCCTTTCAGTTAGGGAAAAAAAAAAAGGTCTTTAGAAATTACTTTAATAGAGTAATTTGATTTGACATCTTTGGAAAAAGGAATTGAATGCTATGGGTCTGACATATTGCTTATAAGTTGTGGTGTGTGTAAATTATTTGGATTTTACATCGATGCCAAGAAGAACACTTGTTAAAAATATACTAAGCTTTATACCAGATCCTTGCCTTGTCTACATTCTAGAAGTTTTCCTGAGAAATAAAGTTTTCCACAGCATTTGATTACGTCCTGATGATTTGTTGGGAACACACTATCACTGGAAAATTCAGGAGGAAATAAGATCTTGGGGTTTCTACTCAGGCAGCCTCTGGAGAAAACTGTAATTTGTGGATGGGCCCAGAATGGATTCTTTGGATCTTCTCCCCTTGCTTTTCCATTATATGCTGTCAGATTCTCACAGAATGTTTCTTTCCCTAAATTTCTCTGAGTGCTACTCTTATTTTATAGTAAGCATGCTCTTTCTAGAAAAAAAAATGCCCTCTTGAGAATCACAATTAAAGCAGACCACCAGAGACAATATTTCACATCCAATGCCCCCTTTCTTCTACCCCAAATAACTGAGCTAAGATAAAAGTGGGGTGGCATATTTTTTTTCTATGCAGGGT